TGTTGTTGTGTTGTTATGTGCTGTTGAGTCAGACCCGACTCATAGCAACCCCTCCTTGGGTTTCCGAGGCAGTATCACTACAGAAGTAGATTGCCTCATCTTCTTCCTTCCAAGGAGTGGCTGGTGGTTTAAACCACCAGCCTTCTGGTTTGCAGTCAAGTGCCTTAGGCACTACACTTCCAGACCTCCATATATATATATACCAAAAACTCATTGCCATCCAGTCAATTCCAATTCATAGTAACCCTCATTGTAAATCTTTACAGAAGCAGACTGTCTCATCTTTGTTCCACAGAGCAGCTGGTGTATTTGAACCACTGACCTTTTGGTTAACAGCCAAATGCCTTAACCACTATACCACCAGAGCTCCTTATAGAATTATATATATTATATATCATATAAAATTAAGGATTCAAGTACAACACCTTATTAAATGCCCATTTCAGCACTGGTAACATTGGCCCAATAGCTGTGACTTTACAATCCAGGAGGGTGAATCTGTTGGTTATGCTGTTTTTGATTCTCACAGTTCCCAAGGGTGAGCATGTCCAGCATAAGCGCACCAGTATTTGTCAGAATTTTGTTTGTTATTTAAAGCTGGGTGTCAGAGGGGCTCAGGGAGGAGGAATGTGGAGGTTTGTGCTGCAGTGTTCATTTGCCCTGGCAAGATGGTAGCAAGGGAGAAAGACACCAGACCCCAGGGTCCACCAGAGAGGGTTCAGACCAGGCCACGTTGTTAGAAGGTAATTTGGGGTGAGTCCCTAAGTCTCAGAGTCCCCATCTATAAATTATGAGCTCAGATGCAAAAGCCTTTGGCATAAAGTAAATCCTAAATATCCTTTTATCTCCCTTTTTCTATCTCTTCCTCCAGAGACAACTAAGGCCAGGATTTCCTGCATAAAAAAGATGTCACTTAGGTACACTGAACCCTTTATGATGGATATCACTGTTATTTCACATATGCTTTAAGATAAATGAGAACTAACTATAGCTCACTGATCCAATCTTTCTCTCTCCTTTTTATTGCGGTTTGGGTGGAAGTCTACACAGCAAGTTAGTTTTCCATTCTATAATTTATACACATTTTGTTTCACGATGGCTGCATTTCCCTCAGTGTAACCGCACTCTTTCCTCTTCCTCCCTGAGTTCTCTGTTTCCATTCCTCTTCCTTTCCCCTTCCTGCCTTGTGAGCTCTGTTTGGGGGCAAATGCTGCCCTTTAGGCCTCCTGTGATAGATTGTTCTGAGGAGTGCCTTCTTTTACGAGTGTTATTGTTCATTATTTAAATATCACAAAATTGCAGAATCTTCTCTTTAGACATCCAACATTGTTGCAGGGTTTTAGAAGCAGGCATTTTACAGCCAGACAGAGCTAAGTCCAAAATTCTATTCTATTCCTTGCTAGCCAAGTGAACTTGGGCAAATTATTTAATCTGTCATCATCTTAATTTTATTTTAATCTACAAAAGTGGACTGATAATACATAATTTACTGTCGTATTGCACTGGGCAGAGCTGCTGCAAAAGACCTCTTTAAAGTGTTAAAGAGCAAAGATGTCACTTTGAAGATAAAAGTGCGTCTGACCCAAGCCATGATATTTTCAGTAACCTCATATGCATGTGAAAGCTGGACAGTGATTAAGGGGGACCTAAGAAGAAGTGGGGAGCTCTGGTAGCATAGTGCCTAAGGCACTTGACTGTTAATCAGAAGGCTGGCGGTTCAAACCCACCAGCCACTCCTCGGAAGGAAGATGGAGCAATCTACTTCTGTAGTGATACTGCCTCAGAAACCCAAGGAAGGGTCGCTGTGAGACGGATCCGACTCAACAGCACATAACAACAACAACAAGTGGGGAGTGCTGGTGGCATAGTGCCTAAGGCACTTGACTGCTAACCAGAAGGTTGGTGATTAAAACCCACCAGCCACTCCTCAGAAGGAAGGTTGGACAATCTACTTCCGTTGTGATACCTCCTCGGAAACCCAAGGAGAAGTCACTATGAGTTGGACCTGACCTGACGGCAGTGAGTTTAGTTTTTGGTTTAAGAAGAAGTGATGCATTTGAATTGTGTTGGCAAAGAATACTGAAAATACTGTGGACTGCCAGAAGAGTGAAGAAATTTGTCTTAGAAGATGTATGGCCAGAATACATCTTACAAGTGAGAATAATCAGAATTCATCTCTCCTACTTTGGTCATGTTGTCTCCAGTCCCTGGAGAAGGATATTATGGTGGTAAAATAGAGGGTCAGCAACAAAGGAGAAGACCTCAATGAGATGGATTGACATCATAGCTGCAACATGGGCCTCAGGCATAGTGAAGATTGTGAGGTTGGCTCAGGACCAGGCACTGTTTCGTTCAGTTGTACATAGGATCGCTATGAGTCCAAACCGACTTGATAGCAACTAGTAACAACAACAAGAGGTTACTGTCACAGAGATTAATGAACACAGATGACATCTAATAAAATACAGCTATTACTGTAAGTCATTATTCTAATATTATTATTAAAGGTCCCTGTGGAGATGATAGTTACCTCAACAATCTCCCTTTCTGGTAATGAGGGCAGTGAAGAATGATGTGGGAGAAAAAAGTAAAAGAATTACCCATTACTGATATAAACTGAGCACTTAGGAGAAGAAGTAACCACCCTGTCTTGTCTTTGTTTAATAAAATATACTGGAAGAAAGACAGAAGAAGATGTAAGGAGGCTGACAGTATTACTGATGGTTGAAGTAATTATTTCCAGGACAGGAAAGCCAACAATGCCACAAGTGCATGCTATATTAATCCCTGATTCATGGTTAGGTTTAGATTAGTAGACAGTAGACATCATCACTTTGTCTGTATGCACATATGACGTACATTTACAAAAACATCTCTGGCAAATGCAGAAAATGGCTAGCAGTATAGTTCAAAAGGGGAGCTCTGGTAGCATAGTGGCTAAGGCACTTGACTGCTTAACCAGAAGGCTGGCAGTTCAAACTCATTAGCCACACACCTCGGAAGGAAGATGTGGCAATCTACTTCCGTAGTGATACTGCCTCGGAAACCCAAGGAGGGGTCACTATGAGTCGGGTCCGACTCGACAGCAACAACAGCAACAACAACATAGTTCGAAAGATTGCATATTAGGCCATTTGGTTTCTCTAACTACAAAAAAGTACAAGATTCAACCAAGAAATATTTTCATTTCCCCTTGACAGTGTAACACTGCTTGAAATAAATGTGGCAGAGTCAGAGGAAGGCTGGTTATGACTTACACCATCTTGACAAAACCTGCCTCCTGACATACTTCAGTGCTTTACTGGCACTGCTGATTCTGTGTCTCCTCTTCCATCCTGTTATACTTTCTAGATTGTGGTTTGTTTTGCAATGGAGTTTTGAGTGTACCCTAAAACAGTACAGCCCTTACCATCAACTGTTACTGAAAGAGAGGAAGGACTGAGGATGTAACTGATGACCATGTTTTTACCGAGACCTAATTATCCCACCCACTGTGGTACACACAGATGCTCATCACTGTGAACAACATTTTATCTGAAATTAATTTCATGCATGCATTTGTTTTTGGCACCAGCTGCAGTGCCATTTTACAGTGACAAGGTGACCTTGGGATCAGCAGTGGGAATGCAGATGGTTACATCAGATTTTGGAAAAGTTTACTCAGATGCGCCATGTTGGAAATGGAACTCTTGCCTATGCATAACCAAACCAGTTCCGACGCATGGTGACCCCAGGTGTTGCAGAGCAAAACCACTCCATGGTGTTTTCATGGCTGTGACATTTCAGAATCACATCCCTAGGCCTTTCTTCCAAGATACCTCTGACTGGGTTTGAACCACCAAACCTCCAACCTTTCGGTCAGTAGTACAGTGCTCAACCATTTGCAGCACCCAGGGAATCCTTTTCCATGCACATCACCCCAGAATCATAGGTGGCTGAATCCAGGCCAGGCCTGCTTAGTGATTGTTATTTTTCTTATCCTTTGACATTCTAAATGAATAGTGGATAACATTGAACCTTCTTTCCAATTAAACTAGACAAAATAAAAATGTCAATCTCCAGCCTGTCCATTCAGAGGAGACTCTGTGGCATCGTTATCTGAGCCGCCATAGTGACAACAACAGTCCCAACAAAGCCAGCCTCTGTCTGAATGTGTCTCCTACAGAGCCACCTCTGTCCTTTTATAACCACAATGATTAGATGATTCATTTCTCAAAAATATTAAAAAACGACCTGGCAGCCACATTTGTGTTGTCTTCCAGAGCCATGAAAAATATGCCTAATTATTTCTATATGTCACTCTATCCATGCTGCTTTGAATGGAGCTGTTAGGGACACCTGAGGCTCTTTTCCTTTGAGCTAAATACATTTCCTTGTGTAAGATTCCAAACAGCATGGTTCTGAGGCCATCACAATATGCTGATTATTGCTCAACATTGGCAGTTGGGACTAGGCACAATGTTCTAGCCATTCTGAAACCATCTGTGTGGATGAGTCAGTTCTTTGTTCTCCTTGCCAGTGAGTACATTTATGGAGCGACAACAGAGTGGGTGGCCCTGGGAGCTGTTCTTCCCCCATGGTGCTGTACTCTTCATTCTGTTCACGGTGATTTTCCAATATGTGTGAGCAATTTCCAAACCGAGCTGTGGATAAGAGCAAAAACAGATAACACAATGCACATCTACTAATATCTTTGATTAATGAAAGACTATGATTTAAAAAAAAAAAAAAAACTATTTATCAAGCTCAGTTTCAATTCCTTTCTTGATGGGAAATTCGTCATACTGGTTTCACCATTTTGTTCACTCAAGCAAAAGCCCTATACAGTACTTAAATAAAAATATCTTCAAGTTAAATATTCTGTTACCCCAGTGTTATTTGAGAAATAACTTTGTTTTTTCCTCTTATTACTTAGCATAGAAAAATGAAGAAGCAGGTTTAAAGTCTAAAGTTATCATTTCTTATAAATTCTTGGTCCTTTCTCTATATTGTTGTACACTAGTGTAGTGGATAAGGCATTTGGCTGCTAACCAGAAGGTCAGTGGTTCAAACCCACCAGCCGCTCCACAGAAGGAAGATGGGGCAGTCTACTTCTGTAAAGCTTTACAGCCTAGGAAACCAAAGGGGGTCACTGTGAATGGGAACCAACTCGATAGCAGTGAGTTGAGGGCTGTATGATCAGATGTTCATTTAAATGGTCAGCTCAGCCTGTGGATTGAAACTTTTACTTAATTGAAAGAATCATAATATCCTAGTGATGACCCTTCTCTTAGCAGAGGTAATATTCAACATTCTCCTAACATTATATGGAGAGCAATTATACGTGAGGTCTGATTTTCCTTTGCCTTACACAGAGTATAATGAAATCCGAGGAAGAAAAAAACTGACATCTAAACATGAAGCAGATATTGCCTGATACTACTATAGTATTTGAACAAAAAGTTTATGTATTTTCTTCTATATGTTGCCAAGGAAATGGATTAATTAGGAAATATTTTTTTTTAGATTCATGGTGTTGTCTTAATTCACAGTAAATTTCTGACTCACATGTTCTCCATTTTATCTTTGGCTTTGTCCTCAAAGGACGTGGGCAGATCTATTTCCATGAAAATATGTCAAGAGTGTGCACCTATACACCTACACAGCTTTTGCCCTGTTCCACTAAATCCTAATGGTGCGATCCAAACTGAAAGGAATCTTTTTCTGTCCAGATTTATGATGTCTTGAAGAAAAAAAGAATAATATTTGCTCCTGTTCTTCCTCACTCCACTGATACTCCCAAGTTCTGATATATATATATATTAATAAATGTGAGACCTCATTTTAAAAAAAGTAGTTGTAATATGAGCTGTTGTCAGTTGAGATGCAGAACTAAAAATAAGAAGTTAGAGATAACAAAAATATAGTGTGCAGATAACATTTTTATTCTAAGAGTTTTGCTTGTCTTTTTTCTAAGTTTCTGGAGCTTCTTCCATTTCAAATGGAAAATTTAATCAAGTTAGTCCTTTTAAAAGCACATCTCCATAAACAATATCTAAATATTGACATGAGTAAATATTATTTTCTTTCAGATCAGTGTTTAAGGACAACCAGGGAAATGTGGACAGAGACTCAAGATTTTCTCCATTGTATCGACAAGAAAGTAGCAAGATATCAACTGAGGACCTACTTAAACTAGTGTCTGATTACAGAAGGTTTGCTTTTTAGATACTGTTGAAGTTAACATGAATTAGCTGCACAGCTATCATTGTTTTGTTCTCTCTGCATAAATAATACATGGGTACTTGATTTTCAAATGTCTCATCTTCCTTAGAAAGCAGATGCTTTTCACACATGCCCAAATGGTACCACAGAGTAAATTTGCCAGAATCATACGGAGGAAGTGTGACACCTTAAACTGTCAGTTATCTATTGCTGTGTATCCAGCTAATCCAAGCGTCTTGTTGTTATTTGCCATGGAGTCACACCCGACTCATAGTGACCCCTCCTTGGGTTTCCAGGGCAGTATCTCTACAGAAGTAGATTGCCCAACCTTCCTTCCGAGGAGTGGCTGGTGGGTTTGAACCGCCAGCCTTCTGGTTAGCAGTCAAGTGCCTTAGGCATTATGCTATCCAAGGTTAGTGACTTAAAATAGCACTACTATACTCCTGAATTCATAATGGAAGCATGTCTAGATGAGCAAAGTTGATTCTTCTGTACAAGGCATTGTCTAGGTTGGTCAAGTGGGGCCAGGGGATCTACTTTAAAGATGACTGACTTAATGACTAGAAAGTTGTCCTTATTGTCGGCTGGGAGCTCAGCTGAAACTGTGGGCCAGAAGCCTTGGTTCTTCCCTATGCAGCCCTCTCCTTGAGATGCTTGGGCTTCCTTATGGCGTGGTGACTGAGTTGTAAGAAGAAACACCCCAATGGACAGGAAATAACCACTGCCAGCTTCTAAAGGCCAAGACCCAGAAACTAGCAGGGTACCATTTACATCATTTCCATTGTCAAGCTGTCACAGAACCTAGATTAAAGGGAAAGAGACATTAGTTGCTCTCAATAGAAATGTTACAGAATTTTAGGGTCATGTTTTAAAACTCCACAGAAAAATTATGTTTCTGTGAATACAGTAATTCATAATATTCAAGTCATCCAAATGCTTTTGAAAAAAATAAAGGAAATTAGTGCTAAGATAAGAAATATATAAAAACTATACATTTTTTAATTGATTCACAATGTATCTAACATCTGATGATAATACAGTCTTTCAGGATGAGCTATATATCTTAAATTGTTAGTCCCCTAATGCACACAGTATTCTTGGGCCCTTTGGCCCTTTCGAAATGTTACTTATTTGCCTTTCTCATCAAAGAATAAACAATTTCCTACTAATTAGTTTTGTCTATCCAGAACAAAAATAATATAACGTATGAAAGAAGCCTGGTGAATGTTTTCTGTACCATCAGTAGAGGATGTTTCCATGAACTAGAAAGGAAGTTTTCCAGTGTTCTTTTGTGTTCTGGAATAAAAATAAATAAACCTTAGGAAGCAAAATAAGGGTGAGGAGGAAAGTCTTAGAGGAGATTCTGAGTCTGTCTGACTTTGTAATTCTATAAGATCAGTCGGTGCAGGGAGTGATTGTCCTTTGCTTCATCAAACTGGCTCTCAAAATGAAACTGGTGCAAAGGAATCATTCACCAGATTATTTATGATCTCCTGTCATCTTCTGTCAAAGCTCAGAATGAATAGTTGACTCTTTTTTCTTGAGAACTGGAATAATTCATTGCATGTGTGTTTCTTTGCTGGTGTACTCTCACAGGGTTGACAGAATAAGCAAAACGCAGACCATCCCTGGAAGCCTGGATATTGCTGTTGACAACACTCCTTTGGAGCACCCAAGTATGGTGACAATGATGCCGTGGTTTGGTTATAGAGATTTGAACACTTAAGGATTTTTGGGGTGCTTGGTTAGTTAGCAGGTTGGCTGGTTAGTTGGTTGGTTGGTTCATTCATTGGTTTGATAGGTATATGCTACAAATATTCGTATAAATGGAATTTAGTATCTTATGGAAATGTTGGGCTCCTTATTTCTTCATTAAGGGAGCCTCTATTATAGGACAAGAACTACAGTCATGGTGACCTACTCTTTATCTATCTGGTATGCACTATGTCCTGTCAAGGTATTAAATTATGTCATCTAATCCTCAAAACCCCAGAGAGTTTCAAAAGAGTAAAGACAGTTTAATAAGCCAGTAACCTATAGTGGCAGAACTTACATTCTGTCCAGTTCCTCTGACTCAAAATTCAGGGCTGGTTCCACACTGTGCTGCCAAAAAGGTATTTTGAACAAAGTTTAACCACCCAAGTGGCCATGCAAAATTATTGCTGAAATATGTTTAGACTTTGTTATTACACAGAAAGTATCGTTTTCAGAATATGAACAAAAGTCTTATGTCAGCAGAAGGTAATATTGCAGAAGGAGTATTTATTAATTTATAAATAAATGAGTTTCAAATTTTATTTCTCATGTGCTGAGATTGGTTTTGTGTGTTGTTTTGTTTTGCTTTGCCACTCTGATTAGGCGTTTCGGTGACTTTCTCATTGATACAGAGGACAAATGGGAGCAGCCGATAATGAATTACGAACGGGAGAAATTAGGATCATGGGAGATTTGGGTTACCATTAGCACTTTCAGTTTTCCATTCTTGAAGTTTTTCCTCAAATTGTTTTAACATGAAATACAATGAGCTTTCTGACCTGAATCATGGCTCCAAATCATTTTATATTGATTGGCAGGATAAAGGATAAAGGATAAACCAAGCCATTTCCTCCTGCTTAATTAAGAGAGCATGACTTTTATTAGCTATGAAAAGAAAAGCAAAACAAAAACAGAGCGAAAATATTCTCTTTGAGAGAATTGTAGATTAGAGAAATTGTAACTTGTAATAAAAACTATTATAATTAATTTTTGAAAAGAAACTTGTCATCTGATTCCCAAGCATACATAGCCAATCATTTTGCTTTTCTGAAGGCAAGGAGATTGCAGAGCAAGTGAAAGAAAGCAGAGTTGCTGTTTTTTCATACCACATCTTTAGCTTCCGAATTGTTTAGTGATGGGAGATTGGATTTGAAAAAATGTAATGGTCTTTTCTTTCTTTTTTTCTTAGGCTGTTCTTATAAGGTTAGATTTTTTAGGGCTATAAAAACTGGAGAGAAAAATGCAATAAATTGCATTCAATGATGCACAGAGTGTTTCAAGCCCATAGTGTGAAATGATGTCATAGAGGAAACTTAATATTAATCCATTGGAAACTCTCAATAGTAGACCTGTTGAACAACGTTTCGTTTTACTGTGTATCAACATCTGCATTATTTGATAGTGTTATAGCAAAGGTCAGGGAGTTGATGCTTATTAGAGAAGACGTAATTAGTATGTTCAGAGGGTCATTAGCCAAAATTACTTTTGATATGAAGCTTAATACAAAAATAATATAGTTATAAGCGTATCCAAAAGTTTTGCCTTTTCTTAAGACATCAGTTTTGATATTAAGTATAATGCCTATCTTTCATACCCACCTCCTACAAACGGTCCAAGCTAGCATAATTTAGCACAAGTTGACATAAGGTATAGAGTTATATTTTGAATGGATTTATGTAAAAACATGTTAAGTATCGTTCACTATAAAAAGAACCATATTGAATGACAGATTTTTATTTTCTGGTTTCTCAAGACTGTGTAACATCGTCCTTTGTCCCTGTCAAGCCTTTCAACGTGATGGCTCAGCACGAACCCTCCGTGGAGGTGGAAGAATTTGTTTACGACACCACCAAGTCCTGCCGCCCCTACCGAGAGTACAAAAACCAGATTTACATTTACCCCAAGCACCTCAAGTATGACAGCCAGAAGTGCTTCAACAAGGTATGGTGCGGGTTTCTGGGGTAACATCCTCTCCCTCACCACACTTAGATCATACACGATGGCTTCTTGAAAGTAAGAATACAAATTGTTATCGGCTGACATTTGAGAATAGAAAACCATTTGGAAAAATTCTTCCTACAGGGCAGTGAGGGGCTTCACCTTGGGTGCATAAAGGGATGCATGGTTTTATAGCATATTACCATTGCTTTCTGAAACAAGTCCAACATATTTTTGATTCATACATTTTCTTTTCATGTCTAAATATATTCTAAATATATATTTCTAAATATATTTCTAAATAGCGTGCTTGTCCATTCCAAAGTGAGCATTTTCTTCCTTTTAAAAGAAATGATCCTTCCCAGTTCTCTCTGCTATTTCTGAATGCTATAGATAATCTCACAGGAAAATATTGGGCACTGTACTTTTTTCAGATTTAATTGGATGCTGTATATTTTAGGCACTTGGATTTTTTGTTGCTTTTATTGTTACTGTTATTTAATAGGAAATTACAACCCTCATTTCCTCCACTGTAATTCCAGGCACGAAATATAACCGTGTGCATTGAATTCAAAAACTCCGATGAAGATGGTGCCAAGCCAGTGAAGGTGAGCCAAGTCAGCAGTGGGACATGGCCGGAGAATCCATAATTTCTTTCTGCTGTTGAGGGGCTTTTTATTTCAGTATGGTTGAAAGAGGAGTGATTTCATACATTTCTTTTTGATTTTCTGAAATGTACATGACTTCATAGCATCATTAAGGAGCTCTGGTGGCGTTGTGGGTAAGGCATTTGGCTGCTAACCACAAGGTCAGTGGTTTGAACCCACTAGCCACTCCACAAAAGAAAGACAAGGCAATCTGCTTCTGTAAAGATTTACAGCCTGGGAACTGTGGTGGTTATGTTTGTGTGTCAACTCGGCTAGGCCTGGTTGAATGGCTGGGCAGCTGGTGGTAGTTATTCCCCATGATGAGACTGGCAGTCAGCTCCATGGTGAGATCTACCACAAGCAGCTGAGTAGCTGCTTTGGGTATGTGGTCTGCTTCCCAGATATAAGCAGCAGCTTTGGGAATGGTCTCTAGCCTATGGCACACTTGGACCCTGCATGTAGCTGTGTCATTGTTCAGCAGCCTGCCATGCCCTGCCAACCTTGGGACTTACAATGAATGGACTTACAGTTAATGGCCTGCCGTGTGGTTTGGTAACATTGGGACTGTGCCTTTTTACTTGTCAACTTGGGTTTGACAGCCTCAGCAGCCAGCAGCTGTCTGAGTAAAGAAATGCCTCTAGCTCCTGTGAGCCGGAAGCAGGAGGCAGAGCTGGACCTCAAGGTTGAGGGACTTTCACCTAACCCCTAGAACCTGACACTTTGAACTTGGACTTAAAGCCTCCAAATTGTAAGAATAAACTACTGTTTGTTAAGGCCATCCCATTTGTGGTATGTTTCCTGTCAGAGCAGTACTAGGTAACCAGAACAGGAATGCAATGGGAGTAACGACGAATTGGAATCAACTTGATACCAGTAAGTTTGGTTTTGCTTTGGTGATAGCCATCATTATGTACACATACTAGAAATGCCAGTCCCATGGTTCTGTTTAGCTTTATCCTGGTGTAAGAAGCAGAAAACCATTCTAGTGTGAAAGAAAGCAGAGCTTCCTCTGTGGAAGACATTGTCCTTTTCAGAGATTAGCCTGGCTCTTGGCTCAGCATGCCTGACCCCTGGGCACAAGGGCTGCTGCATCTGGACTTCATGGAAAATACAGTGGTCTTGTGGGATAATCCCACTACGGAAGGTGATATTACCCACTGCCTGAGGAACTGGTAAACCAGCCTGGAAAATAAGACTGGCTCTGGTGGCATAATGCATCAGGCATTTGACTGCTAACCAGAAGGCTGGCGGTTCAAACCCACCAGCCACTCCTCGGAAGGAAAGTTGAGCAATCTACTTCTATAGAAATACTGCCTCAGAAACCCCAGGATGGGTCACTATGAGTCAGATCCAACTCAGTGGCAATGCGTTTGGTTTGGTTTTGGTGATCACATGATTTAATAAGATCAATAAAACTCTCAGGTCTTTATGAACCCTACCGATTTAACATATAAAACTACAACTGGATGGAAATTTTTAGGGTTTATATTTGATAGGTACTGTTTTAATTTTGGGGACTTCATGCAACGTAAAGTAACCAATAATAATAGAGAGAGAGAGATTATTTTTATGAGGCCCATGCCCTGGCCTTCCCAGTTTGGGTGAAGCAGAGGAAATAGATTATAAAGCACAAGACTGATTTCTAACTTGTCACCACCATTATCTGAATTAACCTCTTAGAGCACTCTCCAGGTACCAATTCTGTACCCCGATTTTGCTACCAAGAAGTTTGTGAAATTGTTCACAAGAATGGTGGTCAGTTTAAGGATGGTTGAGTGAATCCTGCAGAGTAAAGAAGAAGAGCTGTTTAGAATTGTCAGGAACCACTGTTAGCATCTGTAGGTACCGTGTTCGCGACAGCATTAGCATCAAGAGAGAAAAGTTAAAGTGAAATGTACCTCGACCTGACAGGAAACTCTCCAGACCTACTAGTTGTTGTTGTTGTTGCTGTTGTTATGTGCCATCAAGTCGGACCCGACTCATAACGACCCCTCCTTGGGTTTCCGAGGTGGTTATTGTTGTTGTTGTTATGTGCCGTCGAGTCAGACCCAACTCACAGCAACCCCTCCTTGGGTTTCCGAGGTGGTTGTTGTTGTTGTTGTTGTTATGTGCCGTCGAGTCAGACCCGACTCACAGCAACCCCTCCTTGGGTTTCCTATGCGATATCACTACAGAAGTAGATTGCCCCATCTTCCTTCCGAGGAGTGGCTGGGGGGTTTGAACCGCCAGCCTTCTGGTTAGCAGTCAAGTGCCTTAGGCACTATGCTACCAGAGCAAGTATTCATGAGGAATCTGGGAAGGAGGGACAATCACAGGTGTGTGAGTCCCATCTCCATTGCACTGTAAAGCATTGCTGAGAGACACAACAGGGCCAGCTGTCAGACTCCAGAGGGGGACCTCAAGCTGGGACTCAGGAGGCTTTTAAGCTACATGACTAGGGAGGTGCCATCATACATCCTCCGGCCTGATCAGAAACTGAGATACAGTGGTAATATAATGTGGGAAGACCTGGAAGTTCCCTATCTCACCAGCTCAGCATCCATAGTTGGAGGCCAGGAGGTGAGGGATTGGCATCTAACTAAGCTCTGCAGTTGCCTAGGACTGATTGCCTTAAGCACTAAGCCAAAGCTGGATTCTGTGAGCCGCACAGTCATGCAGGGATCACTCTGGAACAAGTTAGCCCTTCTCTCCAGTAACCAAAAGCCATTGGTGGTTTGCTGTGGAATTCTTCCCTTCCATGTGGGAGATGTGGGTTCAGTTCCCAGCCAGTGTACTGTGTGTGCAAGCTCCACCCACCTGTCCATGTGAGATTGGAGGCTGCCCTGATGCTGAACAGGATTCAGTGGTGCTTCCAGACTCAGCCAAAGAAAGGCCCAGTGATCTCGCTCCTAAAAGAAGTCAGAGAAAACTTGTGAATCACAGTGATCCAATCTGCAACCCATTATGGGGATGACACAAGACCGGGCAATATTTCTTTCCATTTTAGGGGTTGCCAACTCCACTGCAGCCAACAACAACAATCAAAAGGCAGAGTATGAATTGGTTCTGGTATTCAGTAATGATGTAGTATCTAAATGAGAACTGACACTTTCAAATCTGCTTCAGCCAAGCAATCCATTGTGTAATAAACATAACATTAAAAAAAAAGTGCTATCAAATTGATTCTGCCTCTTAGCAACTCTATAGGACAGACTAAGATGACCCCATATGGTTCCCAGGCTGCAACTCTTTACAGAAGCTGACTGCCACATTTCTCTCCTGCGGAGCAGCTGGTGGGTTTAAAACCACTGACCTTTTGGTTCACAGCCAAGTGCTTAATCACTGCCCCACCAGGGTTCCTTCAAATACAAGTATAGTAGGCCCAAGAAGCTCAAGGTCAATAGTAATGTTAGTTAAGCCTGGCAAGTTATCACAAAATTTTCCTTTGCCCTGTCGTTGGTAACTGAAGATCTGAGGTCTTTTTCATGCTCAATTAAAATCAGACACATAAGCATGGAGGGATGGACACTGGGGAGAGGTAACTATGGGGAGGAAGTGGGAGGGGAGCTGTTGCATTGTGGTAAACTGTGGTCAGTGTCACGAGACAAAGTGTATGTGAGCTGCTGTATGGAAAGTGAATTTGCTCTGTAAACCTTCACCCAAATCACAATAAAATAAATAAATAAAATCAGACACTTGAAATGTTTAAACTTGTAACTTTTTTACCCAGTGCATTTATGGCAAGCCTGGAGGGCCCCTCTTCACCTCGGCCACCTACACAGCAGTTGTGCACCATTCCCAGAATCCGGATTTCTCAGATGAGGTAAGGCGGGGCCAGGCTCCCACTGTCCCTACCTAGCAGCTCCTACAAAGGTGGGCGAGTGGGTCGGACAATGAGTGACAACCATACCTCAGACCGAGGACCCACTCTGGCAGGCATTTACTTAGCCAAGATTTAGTAACTATATTAATGGATAGTTGATCCAGGAGTATGTTGCAACTTTGTGTACAGGACTGACCTTTGAAAATGGAGTGTTTCTATTATATTATTCTTTCTAAGTGACATTTCACATCCTAATAGGAAGAGCAAAGAATTTACATGTGTTCCATCACCACTGGTTACAACTCATGGGAGTTGACGGTGCTGGGACCGCCTCATCTAAATGGATATGGGAGCAAGACTTGCCCTGGCTCACTCCTAAGACTCTCATATTGATTGTTAAACCATGTTCCACGCTACACTTCATACATGAGTTCTCTCACATAATCCCTAAGGCAGTTCTGGGAAGTAGCCACTGTTACTTCCTATTTAAGGATGAAGAAGCTGAGGCTCAGAGGTCAAGCAGCTTTGCCAAGGGTGGTTACTAGTAAATGGAAGTCAGGACTCAAGCTCAGGCCATGTGACTGCACAGCCTGAAGTGTCACCCTTATGCAATAATACATATTAAAAAATCATCGTTACAACGGTACTTCCTGCATACGTTGGCTTGTGTTATCAACCGCTTCCGACCAGCAAATTACAGAGCTTCAATTTAATCTTTAACCATAAAGCAAAGTCTGAACCAATGTTAAGTACTGGTTATTTAAGTAGGACAATATGAGCCTTGTTGACATGATGGCTAGAATGAAAATGTCACACTTTCTGTTGGTGCCATAGAAAAGGACCACAACTTAGTGATTTAAAACAACACATATTTAGTATCTTACAGTTCTGGAGATCAAAGTACAATGGGCTGTAAGCAAGAGGTCAGCAGATCTGAATGATTTCTGGAGGCTCTAAGGGAGAATCCATTTTCTTGCCATTTCCAACTTCTAGAGGCCACCTGCAGGAACTCTGGTGGCATAGTGCCTAAGGCATTTGACTGCTAATCAGAAGCATGGCAGTTCAAACCCACCAGCCACTCCTTGGAACGAATCTGCTTCTGTAGAGATACCACCTCAGAAAGGAGAGGTCTCTATGAGTCAGAATCGACTCGACGTCAGTGAGAGAGGCCTCCTGCGTTCTTTGGTCCCCTCCCAGCAATCGTGTCCCTCCGACCTTGGCTTCCTTCCTCTCTGTGTCTCCTCTGGCTCCGCCTTTCCCACTTCTCCCTTTTAAGGACTCTGTGATTCCACTCTGCCCACCTGAAGGAGCCGGAATATTCTGTCCATCTTAGGATCCTTACTAAATCACGTCTGCAGAGTCCCTTACACCATGGAAGATACCAAAATCACAGTGCTGGAGATTAGGATGTGAACATCTTTTGAGGGGGCATGGTGTGGGGAGGGAGTATTATTTTGTCAACCACACCTTTCTACACTTTAATCATTTTAAATCGCATTAAAAGAACACAAATGAAACAACAGGAGCTCTGGTGGCGTAGTGCCTAAGGCATTTGACTGCTAACCAGAAAATGGCGGTTCAAACCCACCAGCCACTCCTCGGAAGGCAGGTTGAGCAATCTACTTTCGTAGTGATACCTCCTCAGAAACCCAAGGAGGGGTGTCGCTATGAGTCAAATCTGACTCCACGGCAGTGAGTTTGGTTTTTGTTTTTGGTTTAATGAGACAACACTGTGGAACATTTGAATGTTCCTTAGATTTGAGGACAGTGAACCCTGGACTCACTCACTTTGTACACATTGTCAGAAAACACCAATCGTTTGATCACCGTGAAATCCTTTTTAAAAGGCAAAGGTGCCTATGCTGCGTCCTGCCCTGGCCCTGGGCTAGGGATTTCCATCTGAATTCAGTCATTATCTCTTTCATTGCAGGTGAAAATTGAGCTACCAACACAACTCCATGAGAAACATCACATTTTGTTTTCTTTCTATCATGTCACCTGTGACATAAACGCAAAAGCTAATGCCAAAAAGAAGGAAGCTCTGGAGACCTCAGGTACTGGCGGGAAGCACCTGAGTGGCTTTGTGTGTTGCCTGGTGGATGGGAGTGGGAGAGTATTTGAAATGCTTGGGTGTATTGAACAGTTTTGTGAAGGTTAGTATTCATAAACGATAAATAATTGTATCTTTGTTCCTTACTGTGGAGGCTGGTGATGAGAAGTTCTCTCTTTTCCTGTTCCTTTGTAGTTGGATATGCTTGGCTTCCCCTGAAGAGGCATGATCAGATCGCTTCTCAAGAGTATAATATCCCAGTAGCGACGAGTCTGCCTCCTAATTATTTAAGCTTTCAAGATTCTGCAAGTGGAAAGGTATCGGATAGTGTATAATCTAAGAGAAAGAAAGTACGTCAGGCAACTGACATGAAAGGAGCCCTAGAGAAGCAAAGACTAAGCACTCAAGTGCTAACTGCAGGGTTGGCAGTTCAAACCCACAGTGGCTCTGTGGGAGAAAAGACCTCGTGATCTGCTCCCATGATAAAGACTACAACCTGGAAAACACTGTAGGATAGTTCTCTGTTGCGTTGGGTCGCTATTAGTAAAACCCAATTCACAGCACCTCACTATACAAATGACATGTGGTTATTTTCTTTCTGCTATGTAAATTAGCACAGCAAGCATACTTTATGTGCCCAGTGTAGTTACGAATCAAGTGTACCTACAATATTCCTAATCTTTAGTTTATAACCCCTGGAAATGAGCTATTCAAAACAGTACTCTAGTGTTGCCTTGTCTCCTTTATCAATACAGCCAAGTGTACTTGCATGTTTTCTTTTCCATGGTACTGTAAAATTAATGGATCTGGACAGATTAACAAAAAAACAAATAAGCTATGTGTATATATTTTTTTATTTTTATTGTGATTTGGGTGAAAGTTATAGAGTTATTTCATTCTCTATACAGCAGTCCATACACGCTCTGCCCCATGACACTGACTGAAATTTCCCACAATGCAACAGCTCTCTTCCCACTTCCTCCCCATAGTTTCCTCTTCCCTGTGTCCTTCCCTTTCATGCACTCCTGGCCCCCAAGTGGTCTCCCCGTGCAAATACACTTGTAGAAACATTGTCTGCCAACCCAATACATAGTCATGGGCATACTTCCCCCTGCCTAGACATACCTGGTCGTTCAGCCTGTCCTCCCATCTATCCACCCTAGATCAATGTTTGCCGTCACTGACAACTCAGTACTGTATGTGCAAAAGGGTTCATCTTTGTTGTCTGTATCTCCCACGCACCTCTCTATGTCTTCCTCTTCCTCAATGCCACCATGTTGATCGCTTACATATGGTGCTAAATAAGCTATGTATTTCTTATTTCTCGTTGTCATTGTGACAGTAACAAACTCTTTTTTTTTTTTTTTCAGCACAGTATGAGTGACATTAAATGGGTTGATGGCGGCAAACCACTTTTCAAAGTATCAACATTTGTTGTATCAACAGTGAACACTCAGGTGAGTATGTTTTCTTCCCCACCCCACCCCCAGAAGTTCAACAGGTAACTATCAGCATCTTTTCTAGCACAAAGAATCATAAGGTGTCTCCTACTCCTACAGTTACATGATGAAACTGACCATTTAAATGGGGTATCCAAAAAACAGGTGATTAAAAGCCATTGCCATGTGGCCGGGAAGGAAAATAAAACCCACAAAAATGAAATAGGAGAGAAAGGGAGCTTGAGAGTTCAGGGTGGTCCTTCAAAATGCCTGAGCATCAAGCAAAGAGGAGCACTTTGTCCCTCTACCTCTGTGATAAGGCATCTCCACATCGATGAATCCCTTCTGCAGAAGGCTTGCATCCTGTTACGATGGTCCTTTGTAACAATGTTCATGTGTCATCAGAAACAAATACTATTTTCTTTGGCTGTTTCAGGATCCACATGTGAACGCATTTTTTAAACAGTGCCAAAAGAGAGAGAAAGATTTGTCTCAGTCACCTACCTCGAATTTCGTCCGCTCTTGTAAGGTAATAGGACATTTAAGTAGCTTCCGTGGTCTCCAAGGTAGGAATGTGCAAAAGAGACCTTTACATTTTCCACAACTAGCTAACCTCAAAGTAATTACTGTTGAAGATTTTAAGATGCATGATTGATTTAGAAAGGAAACCATTCTATTTCACCATTTCTAAATAGTTGCTGTTGATGACAGAAACATGCGAAGATCAGTTTTAACCAAAATATTATTAAGTCCATTTATTTTAAAGTAGCCAATCAAATAGAGAGCCCTTGCCACGTACCTGGCATGCCTGTATGCCGTGCTAAATAAAGCCAGAGAAAGGCCGGCTACAGATGCATGGAGTCCCTGGGTGGGTGGGGGAAGCGGTTAACAGACACAGCTGCTAAAAATGGGTTGGTAGTTAAAGTCCACCTGGAAGTGCCTTGGAGGAAAAGCCTGGTAATTTATTTCTGAAGAATCAGCCATTGAAAACCCTGAGAAGCACAGTACTACTCTGACACACGTGGGGTTACCATGATCAGAGTTAACTTGACGGCAACTGGTCGTTTTGTTCATTCATTCGTCTGTTTTTTGCAGTATTCATATTCAAGTTCTGAAAAACACCAGCAGAACAGCTTTAAATCTAACCAGTGTTCTTTTTTTCCACTTGCCAATTTATTACAGAATTTATTGAATGTGGAAAAGATTCATGCCATCATGAGTTTTCTGCCTATAATTTTAAACCAGCTCTTTAAGGTCCTGGTACAGAATGAGGAAGATGAAATCAGTACAGCTGTGACCAGGTACCCATAACCCATTAAGACAGCACTTTATAATCTCTGGTTACACAGGACCTTGATTGTAACAGAATAGCAGTCCCATGATGTACTCTTAGGTTTCGTTTGAATGCATTTCTCAAATTTAAATACTTCTTCCCTCTTGAGTCTTTACCTTCTAAATCATCTGCTGTTGTTATGTGCCATCGAGTCGGACCTGACTCATAGCGACCCCTCCTTGGGTTTCTGAGGCACTATCACTATGGAAGTAAATTGGCCACATGATCATTAAGGTTCTAGACCTCTGTTTTGTTCACTTTTTCTTTGGATTTTTCAATTATATTTTTATTTGAGATAATTATAGATTCCCATGCCGTTGTAAGAAATAATACAGAGATCCCACACGTGCTCTTTCCCTATCTCACTCTTATGCCAACAACTTGTCAAACAGTGGTACAGTATCACAGCCAGGATATTGATACATCCAAGATACAGAACACTCTCATCACCATCAGGATCCCTCCTGTTGCCCTTTCATAACCTCAGCACTTCCTCCTGCCCTCATTCCTCCCTAACGAACTCCCTCTCTAACCCCTGACAACCACTAATCTGTTCTCTATGTCTATCATTTTGTCATTTCAAACATGCTATATAAATGGAACAATACAGTAACGTGATCTTTTGGGACTGTTTTCTTCACTCAGCATGGAGATTTACCCAGGGTATTATGGGTATCAATGGTTCCTTCCTTTTAATGGCTGAGTTGTATTACATGGTATGACTGTACCACACTTTGTTTAACCCATTCATTGAAGGACCTGTAGCTTTTAGCACGTACTAATAAAATTGCTGGGAGCTCTGGTAGCATAGTGCCTAAGGCACTTGACTGCTAACCAGAAGGCTGGCGGTTCAAACCCACCAGCCACTCCTCAGAAGGAAGATAGGGCAATGTACTTCCGTAATGATACTGCTTCGGAAACCCAAGGAGAGGTCGCTATGAGTCGGGTCCGACTCAAGGGCACATAACAACAACAACAAACAACAATAGAATTGCTAGACATATTTGTGTCCAGATTTATGTATGATCCTAAGTTTTCCTTTCTCTGGAATAAATGCTTAGGACAGCAATTCCTGGGTTGAATGGTAGTTGTATGTTTAGTTTATTTAAGAAACTAACATATTTCCCCAAGGGGCTGTACTATTGTACATCCCCCCTGATGTGTTTTTTTCCCTGATATTCAACTTTTATTTAACTACTTTCACTTTAAATTTGTTTATATATACTACGTTCTTCCAAAGTTATTAGTCTGGTTGATGACTTTGGAAAACATAGTTTCCTCTTTATAGAGATAGTGTCCTGAATTAATTACTGAGTCACATATTCCACATTTAAAATATATATATATATATATATAATTAGTCATTGCATTCTGGGGGAAAAATGGATCGATTGCTCTTGCCATTGAATTGCTTCCCAAATTCCAGTACTTCCTAACTGACAGATATATTAGTCCCTCTTTTGGAATCAGGCTTTTAGGCTGTTTTTCCTCTGAAGTGTTGGAAAATTAAAGAATTCCTAAAAGATCCACCATCAGCCAGTTCTGTAACCAGACTAAAAGTCTCCAACTGTGCCTTCAACCAATGCTCTTTTCAGCATAAATATATATTTCTGTGTTCTGCATTGGGAAGAACCCCATATATTTCAGCTGTTAGATCTGTTGAAATTTTGAGATATTCCTAAATACTCCAGCCATGAAAAAAGTGGTAGGGCCAATGTGGGGGGGAAAAATAGAATCAAGCTGTACCCCTACTGCTACTAGAAACCCTAACCCAGTAGAAAAAAAAAAAAAGATGGGGAGGGGAGAGAGATTGCATCTTAACTTTATTTCTCTTCCCTAAAGCATACAACCAGAGCTCTGGTAGCATAGTGGCTAAGGCACTTGATTGCTAACCAGAAGGCTGGCGGTTCAAACCCACCAGCCACTCCCCAGAAGGAAGGTTGGGCAATCCTACTTCCGTAGTGATACTGCCTCGGAAACCCAAGGAGGGGTCGCTATGAGTCAGGGCTGACTCGACGGCACATAACATACATAACATACAAAGCATATATAATGCCCATAGGTTAGAAAGCAAGCCCCTTTAAAATGGAGTATGATAATTAATTAGAGGTTAAGAGTCTTTAAGTTTTCAACTAGGTACTAAAACTGACCCCTTCTCCAAATACAATGTTGGCAAACCCATAGACCATAGTTAGCATATTGAACACAAGCAGATGATTTCAGATGTCTTGCTGCAGCCATAACCCACTGCCATTGAGTTGATCCCAACTCATAGTGACCCTAAAGGACTGAGGAAAAGTGCTGCGTAGGATTTCCAAGGTTGTAAATCTTTATGGAAGCAGATTGCCTCATCTTTCTCCCATAGAGTGTCTGATGGGTTTGAACCACCAACATTTTGGTTAGCAGCCAAATGCTTTAGGCACTAGATCTCCTATTGCAACCATAGGACATCATTCATATCTTGGTGCTTATAAGTTTCAAGGTTGAAATGGCTAATAGGCATTATAGATATTGTATGCCCTGTGTAGAGGTGGGGAGGTTTGAAATTGATTGATTGATTAGTTCATTCATTCAATGATCATTAAGTACTCTGTTTACCAAATACTCTAATGACAAATGGTATTTTTCTGCCTTCTCTGAAAAGACCATTAAAGGGTTTTGCTTTTCCAGGGTCCTGACGGACATTGTGGCCAAGTGCCATGAAGAACAGCTAGACCACTCAGTCCAGTCCTACATAAAGGTATGAAAGAACCACTTGGACCTTGGTGATATCCCCATGTGCTGTGTGGCTTGTCTCATCTCTTGTCTTCAATAAGTGACAAGTTTTCTCCGTTAGCTGGACAGTGTCCACCACAATAATAATAAACATTCCCCTTAAAAAAAAAGCAAAAGAAAATGACAGCCTTTAGGTTGCCTCGACTCACGGCAACCCCTGTGTCAGAGTAAAACTGCTCTGCTCTTTAAGGTCTTTTGGGCTGTAATCTTTACACAAGTAGATTGTCAGGACTTCCTTCCATGCTGCCACTGGGTGGGTTCACACTGCCAACTTTTAGGTTAGTATTTGAGTTCAAACTACTTGTTCCACCCAAGGCCTTAACATTCTCCTTAACTACTTAGACTTCCATCTCTTTGCATTAGTTGGCAAGAGGTATTGGTTCCATGTGTAAATAATGTATAAATATCTGAATGGGGGGAGAGATGAGAAACTAGAAGAGAGGAGAAAACCAAAGTGTTTTCCTTTTGAAGTCAGCCTTACAAGCAAATGAAATTCCTGGGTGAATTTAAGGAGGAGTTGTTCCTGTTGGTTTGTTGACTGCTCTGTGTTTCTTCTATAACATTTTCTTAGCTCTCTTTATTGTTTTCTCAGGCATTCTTTCATTTTCCCAGTTACTGTATATTTGTACCTGCTTCTGGTATGTTAAGTCCTTTATCTTCTGGCATGAACCACTTGCTCATCCATCCCATTGGTGTGCACTGCTTCTTCCAGTGTCCTTTGTCAAGTTTTCACTCGGACATGTTTCTATTCTCATTGCCAGTTGGCCTCTGACTTAGTGCCAGTGACCTTGTGATGATGTTTGCCCATTCACCGTTTCTACCAAAAGGTCATCTTCTTGAATGAAAAGAAAAGAGCCAACCTGAGATAAATGGAATGCCTTCAATTACTTTCTCACACATAAACCAACATCCAGTAGCCATCAAATCAATTCGGATTCATGGCAACCCCATGTGTGTCAGAGTAAAACTGAGCTCCATATGGTTTCCAGTGACTTATTTTTCTGGAGTTGATAGCCATGTCTTTCTTCTGAATCACTTCTGGGTGAACTGAAACCTCCAGCCTTTTGGTTAGTAGCTGAGCAAGTTAACCATTTGCATCAGCCAGAGACCATTTTTAATACTTAACCAAACAAACCAAACTCAATACCATTGAGTCGACTCCGACTCATAGCAACTCCTCCCTGGGTTTCCAAGATGGTATCTCTACGGAAGTAGATTGCCCAGTCTTCCTTCCGAAGAGTGGCTGGTGGGTTTGAACTGTCTGCCTTCTGGTTAGCAGTCAAGTGCCTTGCGCGCTATGCCACCAGAACTCCCTTTTAATACTTTAGAAAACCTAAATTTTTATTTTCTGTGCATAGACCAAAGCTTTTTAAGACAGATTTTTCTTTTTTAATTAAGTTATGGTCTTACATATTCGAGATGCCTAGAAAGGTGACTAGAGAAGAATTTTATCTTTTGTCCTAGAAACTTGTAATAACCTCCCAATGCTAATTTCATTCTGGAATGAACTCCCCTGAGATAGCATCTGAAAAAATATATTTTTTCACTAGCTTTATTTCTAAATATTTTTGTACTTGTCAGAAATTGTGAATATCTTCCCAGATGCTTAATATAAATGTGTACCATTCTTTAAAATAACTCAGCATGCCAAAATTAATCAGTTACTTCCCAGTAATTTAGTTGTGGTACAATTTTGCCCCCTATGATCAACATATCAATTGCAGAAAGCCAGTTCCACCTACAAAGACCTTTTTAGTTTGCTGTCTGTTTAAGATAGGGTCAGAGCGTACCTTTTTTAGAACATTGATGAGTTTACCATTCCACAGAATCATCTGGCGGAATTTCACCCTACTTTTCCATTTCAGTCTCCAAAGGTGACTGAGAAGGAAAATCTTCCTCAATCCATTTGCACACTGGCACTTCCATTTCAACAAATGCATTATTTACTTCATTCCAGTGGAATCAGTGAAAATTATATTAAGAATTGCCTGGCATTGTGACTCTCAATGAGAGTTAGATTCTTACAGCACCTCATATCAGCTCTTAGACTCTTTATTTGTGATTATTCTTGAAGAGGCATTTTGGGAATGCATCCTGATATAGCCTTTATCTGTAACCAGGGAATTGAAAATTTCCTGACAAGACCATCTTTTTTTTTTTTTCATTTAATATAGGAGATTTTTTATTTGGTTGGCTCTGAAATGGTTCAAATCAAGAACTTTGTATGTGTGCAATTTCAAGTTAATAACAATTTCTAAGAATGTTTTAAAACACATTTTAATATATCTGAAATAATTGCAGGCTAATAGATACAATCAACTAGCATTTTATTCTGACAAGAGCACTAAACTAGAAAGTGGGAGATGGGATTCAAGGCCAAGCCTAGTTAATTTGAACCATCAGCCTCTCTGGACCTCAATGTTCCCATCTGTGACATATGATGGGATGGACCCAATGGGTCTTGGGGTTGGGCTTCTGTTCCAGGATATGTTGGACAGCCTTGACCTTGACCAAGGAGTCTGATGTTTTTAGCCAAGGTGGAAATTTTATTTTCAACATAGAGATAGATCTGAAGGCCCCAACCAACCACCCACTTAAGAATATAATGAAAATAGATTAACTAGAACCAATACATGCTTTGTTGTCCTTGTAAGATGTGTATACAGTGCATTCAGAAGTAAACTAAACACCGTTTCAAGTTCAGTGATGCTAAATGCTGCTAACTCACCCCATCTGTGGTATCCAAAATACACACAGACACCATATCTCTTTCAAGGATGTATGAAAAGTCAATCTAAGTATGCTATTGTTTAGTTATTTATGGCACTGACATGTGCTAGTAAAAATTAAAGAATATAAATACTTCAGAACTAGTTAAAATACTCTTGGAGCGAAATAGCTGTGCATAGGATTAGATAGCTGATGATAAGTTTATACTCATGAGTCATAATTGGAGGAAAATCATATTGCTCTTTGATTTTACCTAGCTTCATGCATCTATTCATGTTGTCCTTCTCTGGGGTGAGTTTGGAGAAGTTGAGCCACACTAGGATGACCTAGATGTCAATGCACTGTAAAGGTCAAAGAACTTGTTCTAGATCCAAATGGAATATCCCGCTGTTCTGAGCCAGTTTCATGTCTGTTTCTACTCTTGATTACTATGAGGTCTGAATTGTGAACACAATGAAGAAATGAACTAGCTCTAAAGTAAACTACTATAATTCGGGATAACCATGTTATATTTGAAATACACATACATACAGAAATTGATCTTGATGTCCTTGAAGATAAGGAGAAATACTGAAAACAAAAACCATTTTTTGTACTCAGTGGTGTATGCCAAACCAGTCTTTTGAGACAAAAAAAGTGAGCAGTACCTGTTATCCTACTAAAGGTGAATGGTCCTGCAACCCTTGATAGATGTGTTGAAGTATGAGATGGTAGCCTGGGCTTGTTGGGGAGCTCCCTGCCAGCCTCTGGGAGGCACACACTTTCCCCACTTGGCTATTTGAGTGGGTGCTCTACCCCTTTCAGGATGAAGAATTGCTACCATGCCACCTGTTACCTGTGGAAGGAAGAAGGGGAAATGTATCCTATAAGTAGGTGGGTCAAAGCTCTCCATGTTTCCTTGAACTTGCTGAATTGCTCTCTGAATCTGTCTCTTGATGTCTATGGAAAGAGTTTCAAGGAGAGCTTAGGTGAGCAAGGTCCCTACCTGAGCCAAATTCTAAATAGGAACAGGTGTGTCCTACTCTTATCATTGGGCCTTCATTTATTTCATGACACAGTCTGGCATGAGAAGATAATTTAGAGACATGAATTATTAGTGTACCATTTTATTGAGCTTTTTAAAAAGTACTTAACTTTATTAATTTTTTTTGGATTTCCTTCAGTTCGTGTTCAAGACCAGGACATACAAGGAGAGAACTATACATGAGGAATTGGCTAAAAATGTGATCGGCCTTTTGAAATCAAATGACACAACAACAGTAAAGCATGTCCTGAAGGTAAAACATTTGTTTTTGTTGTTACTTGACATTGAGTTAGCTCTGACTCATGGTGACCAAACTGATGACAGAATGAAGCTTTGCCCCGTCCTGCACCATCTTCATGACTGTTGTGTGTTTGAGTTCATTATTGTGGCTGTTGTGTCAAAATAATTTAAAAGCAGTCATTTACATGTTAGACTTGGGATGGATCACTGTCACCCCTGGAAGGTGATGTTATTAATTGATTTTCATAGATCCTTTCTCTTATAGTTTCTGGCATAAGCTTTGTAATGAAACTAGAGCATATATAAATGTTAAGTAAAGGGAGTCTATTTAAAAAGAACAGATTATGTAAAAAAGTAAAACCAGACCCAAGTTAAATCCTATGACATAAAGGTGGGATGAAGGACCATTGAGAATGGACTAAAACTATTTTAAAAAAAAACCTAAGTGTACCATAAATAAAGTTGGTTGGTTTTTTTAGACACAGTAAGGGAGAAAATACCAAGAGTAATTAATGATGCTGTTTAATGAATGTACTGATGACAGAGAAAGCAGAGCAACATCCATTCTTTGGCCCCACAAAGTCGAAACATTAATGAACACAAAGAAGAAATGCTGAAAACCTTGTAAAAGATAACTTTACATCATTATTGAGTCCCAAGCTAAATTTAATTCTCTCATAACTTAAAAGACAGGCAATTAGCAAGTAGCTAGAAAGGGAAGCTGAGAGCAATCGGCATCCACATGAATTCACTAAAATCAAATTATCCTAAGCCAAGCATATGTATTTGTTTAAATTGTTGTTATGGCCCATCGAGTCACACCCAACTCATAGCGACCCCTCCTTGGGTGTCTAAGGTGGTATCACTACAGAAGTAGATTGCCCAACCTTCCTTCTGAGGAATGGCTGGTGGGTTTGAACTGCCAGCCTTCTGGTTAGCAGTCAAGTACCTTAGGCACTACGCTAACAGAGCTCCCATTTATTTAAATTAGACTTGTTGTTGTTGTTATGTGCCATCAAACCGGCCCCGACTCATAGCGACCCCTCCTTGGGTTGCCGAGGCAGTATCACTACGGAAGTAGATTGCCCAGTCTTCCTTCCGATGAATGGCTTATGAAATGTCTATTCAATTTATTCAACAAATAGGCTCTGATGTATCCTTCGTGACAGGCACCGTCCTAGGCACTTGGGATGTATTGCAAACAAAATGAAGATTCTGCCCTTGGGGAGCTTGCATTCTTCTAGGGGTTAAAACAATAAACTACATACATAATTTAAAAAAAAAAAAGTAAATTATACTAAGTATTAGAAACCAAGAAGTAGTAGGAGTAAAGAAACAGAGTAGGTAGGGCAAATTGGGAGTTCTAAAGTGAAGGGCGAGATTTCCACTCTTAAAGAGGGTGGACATGATAGGTCACATGGAGAAGGTACTACCTGAGCAAAAATGTAAAGGAGATGAGGGAGCTGTCCTGTGGATGTTTAGGTAGATCATTAAAGGTAAATAGAAACTTGGTGAAAAAGGCAATACACAGTAAGGGGAGGTCAGCACAAAATGTTCAATGCAAAGGAAGTCACTTAAAGGAGTTAAAGGAGCAGGAAGGTCCGGAACCTTGAAAGGAGTGGGAAAGGAAAGAGAACTGGCCAGAAGGAACCTCTCACTGAGAAAAGTTTTAGTTGGGCCAATGGGCAGCTGGAGAGCAAAAGATACTCATTATTTACAAGATTCTCCCAATTTACAAAGGTAAATACTTACTATACAATCCTGCAATAATAGTAATAACAATGATCTATGAGTGGGTGAATAGATAAACATGCAAGCTGAACAAGTGTGGAAAGCAAATGGAGCTACATACACAAATATGCATAGGTGTGGCAGATGATGTTTCTACCCTTGTATGTGTGCTGCAAATACAACTATATATGGTAGAGTATACAGGAAGCAAAGTTAGGACAGCTTATTAGCCATAACCAAACACCTTGAGGGCATGAATAGCTGGGCTTGGGGGCCCAGGACCATAATCTGGAGAGACATCAAGGTCAATTGGTACAACATAGTTCACAAAGACATTGTTCTGTGTCCTATTTTGTTGAGTAGTGACTGGGTTCTTAAAAGCTTGTGAGTGGGCATCTAATAGGCAATTATTGATCTCTCTTGATATGGAGCAAAGATGAGTGAATAAAATAAAAACCACGTGGAAAAAGTTAGCCTAAAGAGTAACAAACCACATGAACCACAACCTTCACTAGCTTGAGACCAAAAGAGCTAGGTGATGCCTGGCTACCACTGCCAACAAATCCAGTTTGGATCACAATAGAAGGTCTTTGGTAGAATAGGAGAAAAATGTGGAACAAAACTCAAAGTCATAAAAAAAATGCCCAGGCTTGCTGGTTTGACTCAGACTGAAGCACCTCCCAGACTATGGCCCTTAGACACCCTGCAAGCCTGGAACTGAACTCACTCCTGTGGGTCAACTTTCAGCCAAATAATGGGAAGACTTAATAAGGTGAACAATAACACCAGGATGGTACACACTGCTTACAGCAGTGAACCCTGTGAGACTGAAAGGGCAGCATTTGCCCAAGGACAAAGCTCACAAGGCCAGAAGGGATCAGAAAGTAGGATGGATGGAAATGGGAAACACAAGGAGGAAGTGGAAGAAGTATTGTTACATTGTGGGAATTGAAATCATTGTCACAGAAGAAAATATTTGTGAACTGTTGAATGAAAAACTAATTTACTCTGTAAACTTTCACCCAAATCACAATAAAAAGTAATACACACACACGCACACACACACACACATATATGCACATATATACAGGGAGCTCTGATGGCATAGTGCCTAAGGCACTTGACTGCTAATCAGAAGGTTGGTGGTTCAAACCCACCAGCCACTCCTTAGAAGGACAACTGGGCAATCTACTTCCATAGAGTTACTGCCTCAGAAACCTAAAGAGGGGTTGCTATGAGTCGGATCCGACTGGACAGCACGCATTTAGTATTTTTTTTAATGTATACACACACACACACACAAGTACGTGTAGATGGAAAGACCTCTAGAAGTTGTGATGCAGCGGCATCCTGGGGTGTTGGGAAGACAGCCAGGAGGCCATTGTGGCTAGAGATAAGTGAACAGAGAGGTGAGGGGGTAAGAGTAAGCACCAGGAGTAAGGCAGGTGATATAAAGTCTTGTAGACCACCATAAGGGCTTGTTTTCCTCTCAGAGTGAAATTGGGAGCCATTAAAGGTTTTTTAACAGGGGAGGAACATGTAAGACTAACCAGGATAATCTGCACCAGGCACTCCTGCCTTCCCTTCTAGACCACACACCCTATATGTTTCCTTAGGAGCCTCTGCGGAAAGGACCTCAAGGCTGACTCCAGGGCTTGCTTGAACCTCTTCCTGGCACCATGCTCCAGAGGGCAGATGTTGATACTTGAGTGTAACTTTAGACCCAAGAGAGGAACTCTTGGCAGAGGAGGGCTGGTTTGTGGAGGGAATTTGGATGTGTAGACTGAGTGCCTACACGTGCTCCACGCCGCTGAGTTATAGGACAGAACTGCGCTGAGAAGAGACGGTGTGGCCAGGGATCACTTTCCCATGTCTCCATATTCTGGTACAGAATTCCAGGTTGTCATGAAGTTACATTTGTCAGGGTAGAGGATAGAATACATTTGATTTAACACTTTGTTGGTTTGCCTTCTAACTTTTGAAAACTCAAGACATGTGGCTTTCCATTTAAACTCTCACCCAGGCACTGCAAATGTTAGGCGTGGGTCTGCTATGACATATTTCAATATAAAAATGATTGTTTAGTTTTTTTTTAACTCAATTAAACAAATACAACTCCCAATGAATAAGTATTTCATGAGACAACTGCCTCCAGAGACCTGTCTTAGTTTCCTCATACTGCTGTAACAAAAGTACCCCAAGTAGATGGCTTTGACAAACGCATTTATTGTCTCACTGTTTAGGAGTTTGGACGTCTGAGTTCAGGGTGCTTCCCTTGGGAGAAGCCTTTGCCTCTCTGTTGGCTCTGGAGGAAGGTCCTTGTCTCGTCTGAGCTTCTGCTCCTGGGCAGGCTGCATGTGTCTTGGCGTCTCTCTTCCCCCATCCCTGCTTCCTGGCTTTGCTTGTTTAATCTCTTAGTCTTCATACACCCTACACTGCTCCTACCTCAATCAAATAATGAAGACAACCCATTCCCTAAAGGACTGTAACCATAGGTGTAGAGGTAAAGATTCATAGATCATATACTGGGGAACACAATTCAATCCATAATGTTAGTCAGACAGGTGGAGTCAACTAGTAGCTGGTTTAGTTTAAACATTTTGTAAGACAGTTGAGGAAATGACTGACATTCATCTTTTCTACTGAACTTTAATAAAGCTCATCCTATCATACTGGAGAATATATTATTGTTCTGATTCATTAGTTTCATGGAACACATTTTAAGATGGACTTGTGATTACAAATTGTAAATAATAGAATTGCCATAATTCTATCATAGCATAAAAAATTGTTGATTATTTATTTTTCCTCTTAGCATTCCTGGTTCTTCTTTGCAATTATCCTAAAATCAATGGCACAGCACTTGATGGACACAAATAAAATTCAGGTAAGGTCATAGGTAACAATATTTCCCAACCATTGTGCTAATGATTGTGCTCTTACTAGTTCCATTTTCATTTGCTTTGTAAACCTTAGCAGTTACATTAATTGCTTTTTAAGTAAGGACAGTGTGTTAGTACAAGTCCTTAAGAAATAGATGCCAGCACCAAGTTAGAAGTGCAGAAGATTTATTGGGGGAAATGGCTGGGAAGGGTCAAAGGAACAGGAAGGTCCAGCACCTTGAAAGGAGTGGGGAAGGAAAGAGAACTGGCTAGGAAGAACCTCTCACTGAGGAAAGTTTTAGTTGGGCTGATGGACAGCTGGAGAGCAAAAGATACTCATTAGAGGAGTCCTGTGTTGGGCAGAAATTGCCTGGCTTTAATACTCCTTGTAGGAGCTCTGGTAGCATAGTGGCTAAGACACTTGCCTGCTAGCCAGACGGCTGGCGGTTCAAACCCACCAGCCACTCCTCGGAAGGAAGGTTGGGCAATCCTACTTCCGTAGTGATACTGCCTTGGAAACCCAAGGAGGGGTCGCTATGAGTCAGGTTTGACTCGACGGCACATAACAACAACAACAATACTCCTTGTGCTCCATCATTGATAGCCGCAGCCTGGGGAGTGTGGCCTGGGTATGAACACTGGAGGGGATCCTCCAGGCTTCGTGGCTAATGACAAGCCTCCCATAATCTGTGTCTTGAAGGACCGTCTAAGTTATGCATACTATACCCATGACTACTACCCATTGCACTATGTGTTGCACAATTTTGGGAATCTGTGCCTCCACCGTGGCTTCCTTGGGCCACTCTTCCTGAAAGAAGGCTTAGGCGAAGGAAGCAAATTGACTAAATGACATCCCCATCACTGCAGTTGGTCCCAGTGCTCTATTAGGCACTTGTAATCTGCTCTGCTTTCAGCCATTCACCATTCTGCTTACCCTTAGTCTTCATATCTGAAGGTACAGACATCTTCATATTTGTTACTCCTTCCATATATCCAGCCCCTTGCCCTCAACAAGGCCGTAGGTGCAAGCTGAAAATAGTCATTGATGAGGGTCTGGAATATCTGCCAATGGGTTGGTGGTGCAATGAGGAGCCCTGGTGATGCAATGGTTAAGTGCTGAGTACACCCAGAGGCACCTTGAAAGAAAGGTTCAATAATCTACTTCCAAAAAATCAGCCATTAAAAAACCTTGAGGATCACAGTTCCACTCTGATACATGTGAGGTCACCACGACTCACAGTTGACTTGAAGGGGACTGGTTTCTACTTTTAGAGCTTTCTCAGGGAATAGAGCCCACAATGGTCATGAAATCTCACAGCCAAGCTGTTCTGAACCTTGGGTCAAAAGGACCTTGAATGTGATGTCCCACTGGCACCAGATAACTGGCATGTGCTGGGACCACAGAATTAGGACCAACTGGAAGTCACCACTTTCTAGAGGACATTTCATACCAATACCTGCACTCATTCAGTTATTCATCCAGTGATTGCGTGTAGTTGTTTACTAGGGATTCTGAACAAAAAACATCAAAATAATTGATGTTTAAATGAAACAGAGAATTAGTATACATGTAAAAAAATCCAGAATAATATTCATCAAAGCTTAATATAGTTACTTCCTGAGACTGGGGAGGAGAATTCTATCTGAGACCATAGAAAATACTCATATTCTACTCTGTACATGTCTGTATTGTTCGAATAGTTTGCAATTAATATATGTTATAATTGACTCTTTAATGAGAATATGAAAAATATATTGGCCACAATAGAATAGAATATTAAATGACAATGATGGAGATTTTGACCTAAGAATTAAAAAGACTTCTGCTTTATTACTGCTTTCAAGATTTCTGAAGGATTGTTTTTATTTGATGATATATAAAGTGAAATAAGTCTTCTAAGATTTTTTTCCAAGCCTGATATTCCAAATGATCCATTATAAATAATTACTATTTTCTTCCCTTAGCTCTCCCGGGCTCAAAGATTCCCTGAATCATTCCAGCATGAACTGGACACTCTCGTAATGATCCTGTCTGACCACGTGATATGGAAATGTAAAGATGCAGTTGAAGAAACAAGAAGGGCAAACCACAGCGTTGCCAGATTTCTTAAGGTATGGATATGCAAGAACAATTCTACTCAAGCCCCAAATATAGTGGATGCAAGATACTCAGAATCTTAATCAATTCACATCGCTGTTTCTGATCAAGAGTCAAAACCAAGACTAGTAGATGACTACTTTCATCTGTCTTTTATCCTTGACGTACTTTTTAATTTTTTCTCCCAGTTGGGAGTGTCATAGAAGAAAAACCAAGGTTAAACAGCAGTGGCTATCTCAATGGTGTCAACTCATGGTATTATAAATATTTTTAAAGAAATTATACGTCATATTGAGCTTCAAGGAGAAGCTGCATTGTAGCAATATTATTCTTCTAGTTTTTTTTCTCCTTGAGATGGCATCATATTGGCTGTGGCACTAACCACTGATGCCAAACCACCCCTTTGGGAAAAACCTTTGGGAATTTAGCATTTTTGCTATTTGACATCCAGTTCCCTTTTATACAGTGAAAAATAGTACACTGATCCCATGAAAGGAAAATTATCAATTAAAGTATTGACAAGTACTTACTAAACTGGATATATATGGAAATCAGTTATATTTCTTTGGATTGTAGGCATTTATTTTGAAGAAAAAATACACGATCCAAAAAGAAAAAAAAAAGCTACCATACAGAGTGATGGTATAATTTCACAGATAATGCATTCAACTAAAAAGATAACATTTCTCTTTTCTTCCATCTTGAGTCCAACCCTTGGTACTGTAACCTTGAATGTGTTTATTTGTGGGAGACACTAGAACATAGTGGGTGGGTGTGGAGAGAGATGGAAAATTAGTCTAAGTCACCTTTGATAAGCTTCAGTCCAGCCAAATTTCTTTTTCAATCTATTAGAACTATTTCAAAGTATATGCTATATTTCTTCTCAACTTGAATTTAAGTTTTAATATTTTACTTCTAATTTTTCTTCTCTCTTGCTTCCAGGAAAGGGAAGGGATGGTTAGGGTTGAGGGAATAGAGAGTAGAAAAGGGGAAAAAAAAAACAAACTGTCATCTTCTACCATATTTCAAGACCTACATGGAAACGATGCTTATTTATATTATGGTAGTTGATTGATAATGCTTGACCAAACAGGAAGTTTGGGTAAAACACTTTATTGTCCAGTTTGTAAACAAAATGTTTTTAAAGAAACACTGACTGTACTGTTCTCTAAATTTCAAAACTATGAAGTATAAGCAAGTTTCTGAAAAAGGGAAAAGATCAAAAGATCCCATATCGGCCCTATTTGGCTTTAATGCATTTAATAAATGAATATTTTCAATGGATGTCATTGTGCACAAGATGGTAGTGTGACACATAAATTAATGTCTAAATTGGGTCAAAAGGGAAATGTCCAAGATGGGAAAGGACATTGTGGTACCAGTGACTTTGTACGATGTATGGGGAGAGAGAGCAAACTGAGCATAGGGGAGAAAGCAGTACGCTCCCTCAGCTGTGTAGGGCACCTGGCCTGCGAGTGGGAAACACCATTTGTGTGAAAAGTTCATAAATAGAAGCATTAGTGTAGTATATGCTCCCACAGAAATTACATCCTACACACATTCTTGTTCAGTTTTTAATTTATTGTTTTATTGGTAGATACTTAACTCACAAAAGTCTTTAAAAAAATTCTGAGAAGTTTATAAGCTGAGTCATTTAAACTGGAAGGGAAAGAAAGTGACTTTTGAAAATGTAACACTGCCTGTCATCTTTGGTGTGATTCTCGTGAATTTATGACCTGTGAGCTGTCAGCCACTCAGACTTCCCACTCCCCGTTCTGGCATTATAAATCTCTAATATCCCCAGGAATGTCCTCAGTTATTTGCCCAAGTGAGGTTTCAGAAGACGTTGGGTTTTTCAGTTATTTAATTCTGCATTAACAATCAAATACTACGAATTAGTCATCATTGGTATTTAACAACTGAAATAGGATTGTAATACCATACTTGTGCCACAGTTGTTTTCCAAGAACCAAGAGAACAGAATTTAGGACACAGGTGTGTGGGTCTGTAACAGTGTCCTTATTTAGAATTGCCGTCAAGCCGATTTGGACTCATGGCCAACGCATTTGTTACAGACGAGGCTCCATAGAGTTTTCGTGGCTGTAATCCACATAGAAGCAGATCACCAGGCCTCTCTCCCACAGAGTTGCTGCATGGGTTCAAACCACCAACCTCTATGCTAACAGTTGAACACAAATCACTCAGGGACCTTAGTTTACAATGTACCCTTCCTTTTATCATGTTACAAGAAAGTAATATTTTCACAGCAATTATGCCAAAACCTTGTACATTTCTCCAAATCTTCTTTCCTTGAAGTAGATCAAATTTGAGAGGATCTGTAACTACATAAGGACCTCTGGTGAGCATGGTGGAACCACTGAGACTATGGCCCCTAGCTGCCCTTCAGATCTGGAATTGAACCCACACCTGTGGTTTCCAGCCACACAAAATACAGGCATATGAGTTAAACATTTACCTCAAGTACATACACTCCTTGGAGAGAACAATCATGGGAGAAAGAAGGGGTGCTTAT